AGGTCGTCACCATCCATGATGGTCAAAATCATGGCTCCACCGAAAAATATGCTTTTGATTACAAATGGCCCTTCGTACGTGGGAGTCCATTTTCCCCTAGGATCACCTTACGGCAGTATGATGCGCTTGATTACTAGATCACCCACTTGATATACTTGGCGTCTGACCTTTTTGTTGAAAGCCTTGATCATCCATTTTTGATACATTTGACCATGACAGACAGCAATAAGCCTTTTCTCATCAATCAGATTCAGTTGATCAAGTCGAGTCTGGATCCAATCGTCTTCGTTCAAACCTGCATCCTTCATGATCCTTAAAGAAGGGATTTGGATCTCAATAGGCAGGACAACCTCTACCATATACCAGAGAATAAGGTGTTGCCCTGTTAAGGTTCGTGCTGAGGTGCGGTAACCATGAAGAGAAAATGGTAACATCTCATGCTAGTCTTTGTATGTCACCGTCATCTTCTGTATGATTTTCTTAATACTCTTGTTAGCAGCCTCCACAACGCCATTCATCTTCGGCCGATAAGGGGAAGAATTATGGTGTTGGATCTTAAATTGTTTACAGAGTTTGGCGATCATTGTATTGTTGAGATTTGTACCATTGTCAGTAATGATTCTCTCTGGCACACCATACCGACAAATCAGGTTATGCTTGATAAACTGTGCCACAACATTCTTGGTAACGGTAGAAAAAGAGGCAGCCTCAACCCACTTCGTGAAGTAATCAATGGCCACTAGGATGAAGCGATGCCCATTAGAGGTGGTAGGTTTAATCTCTTCGATCATGTCAATGCCCCACATTACAAAGGGTCAGGGAGCCATCAAGATGTTCAAAGGAACCGGAGGTACATGCACTTTATCAGCATAGATCTGGCATTTGTGACAAGTTCGGGAATGCTGATAACAGTCGGCTTCCATAGTGGACCAATTGTATCCTGCCCGTAGGATCTTTTTAGCCATGGTGTGTCCACTAGAATAGGTGCCAAAGATACCTTCGTGTAAATCGGTCATAATCCTTTCTGCTTTGTTTTTATCTATGCATTAAACTAAATTGGAGTCATGGTTGCGCTTGTAAAGGATTCCATTACTGAGGAAGAACTTTGCGGAGAACCTTCTCAGAAACTTCTTATCATTGACAGATGCCCCCTCAGGATATTCTTGAGCCTTGATATGACTTTTCACTTCATGAAACCAATGTTTATTTGATAATTCTTCAATGTCAATCTCATAGCAGTACGCCAGTTCATTCAACCTCTCAATAGTGATCCGAGGAGCCTCGTTGTCCCACTTAACTTTGAACATAGATGACATGGTAGCTAGCGTGTCTGCTAACTGATTCTTTTCTCGTGGGAAATGTTCAAAGGTGACCTCTTCAAAGTGTGGAAGCAATGTCAGCACATGTTCTTTGTAAGGGATGAGATTCGGGTGTTTCGTGTCCCACTCCCCTTTGATTTGACTTATTACCAAGGCTGAATCCTCGAAAACGCTCAAGAACTTGATCCTCGGGTCAGTAGAAGCTTTTAGACCCATGATGCATGCTTCATACTCCACCATGTTGTTGGTACAGTTGAAACATAATCGGGAAGTGAAAGGAGTATGACAGCCTTCGGGAGATATGATTACACAAGCAATGCCATTGCCGAGTGCGTTGGAGGCTCCATCAAAAACCATAGTCCATCGGGATCCTTCCTCAGGTCTTTCGTCTGGTCCAGGTTCTTCACAGTCACTCACAAACATAATGTTCTCATCCGAGAACTCAAAATTCATGGACTGGTAGTCATCCACAGCCTGATGAGCCAAATGATCAGTTAGTACACTTCCCTTGATTGCTTTCTAGGTCGTATATTGGATATCGTATTCGGTCAAGATCATTTTCCATCTTGCTATTCTTCCGGAGAGAGCGGGTTTCTCGAAGATGTACGTGATCAGATCCATCTTATATATCAACAAAGTGGTGTAGGTCAACATATATTATCTCAGTCGGCGAGCAGCCCATGCCAAAGTGCAGCAAGTTTTCTCGAGCAGTGAGTATCTTGTCTCACAATCGGTAAACTTTTTTGCTAAGGTAGTATATTGCATGTTCTTTTCGACCGGACTCGTCATGCTGCCCCAGCACACACCCCATTGAATTATCTATCACTATTAAGTACATTATCAAAGGTCTTCCTTCGATCATAGGCATCAGAACTGGAGGGTCTTGAAGTTATTCCTTGATTCTCTCGAAGGCGGACTGGAATTCGTCATTCCACTTTACCACTTGATCTTTCTTCAGGAGTTTGAAGATTGGCTCACAAGTAGCAGTTAAATGGGAAATGAACCTGGCAATGTAATTTAGGCGTCCTAAGAATCCTCTGATCTCCTTCTCAGAGTGAGGAGCCTACATCTCTTGTATAGCCTTCCCTTTTGCAGGGTCCACCTGAATGCCCTTGTCACTGACAATGAAACCTAGCAGTTTACCAGACCTTACCCCGAAAGTGCACTTGTTCAGATTTAACCTCAGCTTATACGTCTCCAACCTATCAAACATCTTTTATAGATGATCAAGGTGTTCTTCTTCAGTTTGAGACTTGGCTATCATGTCATCAACATAAATCTCTATCTCATGGTGAATCATGTCATGAAACAGAGCTACCATGGCTCGCTAATAGGTTGTCACAGTGTTCTTCAACCCAAACGACATCACTTTGTAGTAGAAAGTGCCCCATTGTGTGACGAAGGTTGTCTTCTCCATGTCTTCGGGTGCCATCTTGATCTGATTGTAACCAGAGAAACCGTCCATGAAGGAAAAGATCTTATGTTGCGCGGTGTTGTCAACCAGAACGTCAATGTGCGGGAGCGGAAAGTCATCCTTGGGGATTTCCCTATTCAAATCTCGGTAGTCCACACACATTCGTACCTTTCCGTCCTTTTTAGGTACCGGGACTATGTTAGCAACCCATTGGGGGTAATAAGTGACAACTAGGAACCCATTGTTAAACTGTTTCATAACCTCTACTTTGATCTTCTCTGACATTTCAGTGTGCATGCGACGGACCTTCTCCTTTGCCGGAGGGCAATCTTCTTTAATTGGCAGACGATGAACCACAATATTCGTGTCTAGTCCTGGCATGTCTTTATATGACCAGGCAAAGATCTTAACATAATCATGCAACATCTGAGTCAAATGCTGTTTAACACGGAGCTCCAAATTTGCACCTATCTTAACCTCTTTTCTGTTCTCTTCTGTGCCCAAATTCACTGTCTCAACTGGCTCTTCATGAGACTGTATAGCCCTTTCTTCCTGTTGTAACAGTCTGACAAGTTCTCCGGATACCTCACAATCTTCCTCACTTAAATTTAAAAAAATCACTTAAATTTAAAAAAATAAGTTAAATTTAAAAAAATTACTTAAATTTTCAAAAATCACTTAAATTTAAAAAAATCACTTAAATTTTCAAAAATCACTTAAATTTAAATCACTTAAATTTAAAATCACTTGAATTTTCAAAAATCACTTAAATTTTCAAAAATCACTTAAATTTAAAAAAATCACTTAAATTTAAAAAAATAAGTTAAATTTAAAAAAATCACTTAAATTTAAAAAAATCACTTAAATTTTCAAAAATCACTTAAATTTAAATCACTTAAAATTAAAATCACTTAAATTTTCAAAAATCACTTAAGTGATTTTTGAAAATCACTTAGTTTTGAAAATTTAAGTGATTTTTGAAAATTTAAGTGATTTTTTTAAATTTAACTTATTTTTTAAAATTTACCTTATTTTTATATATAGATATATTATACAACACAGTAACTTATAAAACAATAAGGTCTTACAAAAAAAAAATACATCAAAAAATAAAGAAAGATTAGTCATATTAATAAAAATAATAAAGTTGCAGTAAAAAAATGAAATTTTTTTAATAAGAGAACAAAATTTAATATTTTATATTTATTAAGGACAATTTAAGTTTTTAATAAAAAAATTGAGGATAATTTTATCAATATAACAAACATAGATTTTATCATAACTCATCTTTCTTTCATCCCCTTCAAATTAATTACCTCTAATCAGATTCTCTCCCCCGTAAAAAAAATAATCAAATATACTTAACTTAAAATATTTCATCTTGTCCTCTCCCTTCTCCTCCCAAAAAACCGCAACCAAATAGAGACTCTTAAAATCAATTTTTTTCTAAAACATTTTTAGACTAAATTATAATTTTAGTCCCCCTATTTTATCGTATTTACGAAATTAATCCTCCTATTTTAAATTCAAACAGTTTTGATCTCTCTATTTTAAATTCAAACATGTTTGACCCCCTCTCACATTTTGTCATAGAAAATCGATAAGATTTTTTATTTTTTAACTTATATTTTTATCTACAAAGTTCAATAATAAATTTATATGTATGATAATTTGTCATGTTTGACAACTAATTGTTCATTTTAAAAAGAAAAATATCTAATTTTAAGTTCAAAAGTATGAGAGAGAGATATCAAAACTATTTAAATTTAAAATATGTGGATCAATTTTGTGATCAAGTAAAATAGGAGAACCGAAACTGTAATTAAACAAAATAAACAAAAATTTAAAAAAATCAAATATCACAATTCAACTCTCCTTCAACTATCTTGTATTTGGAGTCGCATGTTCAACAACAAAAATGATAAAGATAGACATTTATAAATATTGCACCCCCAACATATTTGAAAACTACCCAAAACACAACTCACCATTAAATAGATCCACCACTTAAATCAAACTAACTTAAAATTCACACCCTACTCGAACATTCACAACAATTAAATACTGTAACTGAATTTATTTGAGTTGAATACAAGCATTATTAAATAATTGGAAGAATAAATCTAAAATTTAAAACATGAGTAGTAATTATTCAATAAATCTATAATTTAAAACTTTTTTTTAATGATAAAACCCAAGAAAATACTTGTTGTTTTATGAACAAATTATTCCATCTTTTTTAGCAGCATTGTAAGCTAGCTTGTGCCTCACATATACATTCCATTGTTGTTGATATAATGAACCAATTCATTTTCATCCACATGATTTGATATTTGAACTTGTGATGAAAAATAAACCTCATTATGATACTCTTCTTCACCAACCTTTCCTTGTGGCAATTGCATAACATTTTCTTGAAAAATTGAAGTTTGATCATAGCCATTTTGCAAGATAAAATAATCATCTGAATTTACATGATCCAATGAAAGCCACTCAGCAAATAAAAGTTTTGGTAATGAGTTTTCTAATAATAAATTATTAGGTTCTTCAATTGTATTTTTTTGTGTTGGTAAAGAATCCATTGTATTTGAACTTGAGCTAGCATATTGAATTTGATCAATTTCCTTAGTTTTGAGCACTTTCTTTTTCAAATATGAATGCCAATAATTTTTTATTTCATTGTCAGTTCTTCCTGGTAATTGTTGTGCTATTTGAGACCACCTGCCCAAATATAAGTAAAAAATATTACATAAATCCACAATTTTTTTTTTTTTTTACATTTTCTTTATTTAAAAAGTTATTGATTTCTTTCTCTAATAATTTAATGATCAGAAAATCACTTCTTTAAATATAAATAAATAGATATTACATATTTAAATAGACAGTTTTGTTTACACTTGTGACATATTAAATACATACAAAATTGTGATCAATTATACCGAGTATTTGATTAATTTAAATCGAAATAAAAATTATAAAAATATGATTTATTATATAATTAAATTAATTATAATTTTAACTAAAATAAATTAACTATAATTTTAATTAATTAATTAATTAGATATGACACTTATAAAAAGTGTAAATATTTATAAACTTTAAATCCAAAATCAAGAAAGTTATGAGTTATCTTTTAAAAACACTTCCATTCCTTAGAAGAGAAAAATTGAAATCAATATTTTAAAGTCACAAGACTAAGCTCTTAGTAATAAACTTGCACATCAAGTGTTTTATTCTATTAGACTTTATTTTTGAGGACTTAAAATAATTAAAATAAACATGTCAAACTTGTAGTAATGTTGACTTTCTATTTTTAATTTTGGAAACTGGCCTATAAGTTTATGTTAACAAGAAAAGAATATAATGAAGTGTAAAATATATAATTAATTTTTGTTAATTAAAAGTTGTATAAGATGGAAAAGTCTAAAACAAATAATATCGAGCTACATTTAATTTAATTTAAAAAGTTAATGAATAGTAAACCATGTGTATTTTAAAAAATGGGAATGCCAACTCATGGTTTGACTCCTATCAATTTTTTTTTCCTTTTATCAATTTTTAAATAGGGTCCAATTGCTTCTTTGACATTAAATTTAGTAGGAATTAGCTGGCATTCAAATACATTATTTAATGTAGGACCATGGAAACAATTTAATGAGATAAAACTATTTTTCTAAATTTGCATTAATAATTGTTTTTTATTTTTTTTTTTAAAGATGTAAGTACAACTTCTTAGTTTTCAAAATATAAGCACTATAATGATAATTATAAGTATAACAATAAAAAAATTACTAAAATATTTTGAAATTTGAAGAGAATTTTATAAAAAAGGATAAATAAAATTTTCAAAAAATACTTAGATTTAACTATGAAAGTAGTTTACTTAACTAACAACACATTGGCTTAAATTTTAATTAGTAGTCCTACCCACAATCATTATTATAATTATTAAAATTATTATTAGTATATCTTGAATAAAAATTACTACATATTTTCTTCTTTAACTTCAAAAAAAAAAAAAAACTTGAAGATAAAATTGAAATCATTAAAAAATTTAATGAAGTTTTCTTACTTGTTGCCCAACATGTGGTGTAGGGTCATAATTGTGTCTTCCTCATATTTGCTAAGAACACCTTTCTTTAATCCTGGTCTTAGGTAATTAATCCACCTTAATCTGCAACTCTTTCCATTCCTATGCAAACCTGAATTTTAATTTAATTTTACTTTATCAATCATTTTAGACTTACATTAATATTAAAAATATATATATTTAAAAATTAAAGAAAGAAAGAAAGCAAAAAAAACTAACCTGCCTTAATGGGAACAGAACTCCAGCAGCTATGACCATATTTAAGGATATAATTTCTGAGCTTATTATCTTCTTCAGGTGACCATAATCCCTTTCTCAAATTTGGTTTTGGTACTTTTTCTACTTGATGAAATTCCATTTTATCAATTTAAATAAGTTTATATGTAAGCTTGAATTTCCAAAAGAGAGATCAAATATAGACAGAGAAAGGAGGAAGCATATTTAGCTTATAAACAGTGCTTAACCATATTGGTATATATAATGGATTGAATACTAATGATTGTGTAGTTTATGTTTATAACTTATTCTAAGGTTTGAAACAAAAATAAATAAATAAACAAACAAATATTTTACTAAAGAATTAGAAAAGAAAACTCATTATCAAATAAAAATATATTAATCGATATTTATTACTTTTTTTTTTGAAAGAAATATAGTATAAAGTTATAATATTGTCAAACTCTTATTATGAAACTGACATTTCATGTACAAATAAAAATACATTAAAATAAATATATGATTATAATTGAAAAAATAAAAAATTATGTCATGTTCCATTGGTTGAAATTATGTTCTACCTTGCCGGAAGGCTACTAAGTATATAATTTAACTATATAATTGTTAAAATTATTTTGTATCAAAGGTATATATGATCATTATTTGTCCTTTTTTTTAATCATATATAAATAATACTTTTAGAATGTATGAGTAGAAAAATTCATTCATAAAAATCGATTTGTAAAGTGAAAATTTCTTTCTATTTATAAATAAATATGTAGATTATATATTGTCTGAGTGAGACTCTAACACATCTCATCACGTTCAGTACTGGATATTTAGAATATGCATATAAATGGCGAGTAATTCGATAGCAGAAATATAATAATAAGTGGTCCAACCTTAGATAGATTCTGATACCATCTTAACAAGGACGAAACTTATAACTAACTTGAGCTTGAAGATATAAATTTGATAATCACTTCTCTTAGATCGATACAATTCAATTATGTGTTACATGTACAAAATGGTGAAAGATCACCATAACAAGCCTAGCAAAGTGATAACTATGAATAAGAAACAAAATTGGATAAGGGAAAGAGAGTTTCTAAAGAAGTTGATTTGGAGTGTCATTGAATGAAGCACACACATAGTCTTTGAGATGTGATGATTGAAATCTTACTCTTGATAATGCACGAGTATGAAATGGTGGAATAAATGGTTTGATATTATCAGTTATGAAAGTACTGAAATCTATGATAGGAGTTGGATTGGGCATACTCTAAACAAGGTATATCAAAGTAAATATTGCGTTGAATTTCTCGCATTCTCAACATTACTTGGTTATAAGCATGTCATTATTCGAGATTGTTTGAAATCTATCAAATATCTATGATGAATTTCTACCAATCTTAATGAATAAGATTGATATCACCATACAATGACAATGAATTATGAGAAAAGAAAAGAAAAGAAAAGAAAGAAGACAATTATTTTCTGCAGAGTTTCTCTCTGCCCAGAAACTGTAGAAAACTTTATTAATCACTTGCAACTGCAAATTCTGTGATTACAATAAATTGACTTAATTACAAAATTAGGGGTTACTCCTTCTATTTATAGATTTAGGTTAGCTTGCTCCCTAAGCCAAAGTCCAAAACTATAAAAGCCCAAAATACCTATTTTGATACTAAATCAAATCTATTTATTCTAAATTAAATCAAATCTGTGTGTAGCTTGCTTCGATCCACAAACTCTTCGACTAAGCAACCTCCCTTCAACATACACACTGTTTCAACACAATCGAATTACAATTTAACACATCACCTAATTCATTGTGTCTAAACTATCTATATTCACCATGGTTCTTAGTCTTTTGAATACTTCGACATGTACTCGCTTCGTCATGATGTCTGCAATCTGATTCTCAGTTCTGCAGTGTTCCAAATTCATCTTCCCATCTTCTACCTGCTCTCGAAGATAGTGGAACCTCATTTCGATGTGCTTGCTTCGACCATGTTCTATCAGGTTCTTCGCCATATTGATAGCTGACATGTTGTCGATCTTCATGGTAATTGCTCCATGATCTTTCCTTGTTATCTCTTCGATCAAGTTCACCATCCAAGTTGCTTGACATACACAAAGAGAAGCAACTATGTATTCTGCTTTGTATGATGATAATGCCACTACTGGTTCCTATCTTGAACTCCAAGCAACTGGTGCACCACCTAACATAAACATATATTCTGCTGTTGATTTTTGATCTTCAGCATCACTACACCAACTTGAATCAGTGTATTCCACTAACTTGCATTCTTTTCCTTTATCAGCTGCAAGAAAAAAATGCCATAGTCGAGAGTTCCTTTGAGATACCTTAGTATCCTCTTCGTCGCTTCTAGATGTGACACCTTTGGCTTCTGCATGAATCTACTTACCATACCTACACTATATGTTAAGTCGGACCTTGTATGACAAAGGTATCTCAATGACCCAATAAGTCTTCTGTATTGGGTTGGGTCGACATCATCTTCTTCTGCATCTTTCGACAGTTGCAGTCTAGGTTCTACAGATGTCGAAGTTGAGTTACATTCTTCCATCTCAAATCTCTTGAGAATTTCTCCTGCATATCTTCATTGATGCATCATCAAACCTCACTGCTCTTGTAGAATTTGATGCCAAGGAAATATGAAATCTCACCCAGATCATACATTTTGAATTCTTTGCTGAGATCACATTTGAAGTCTTCAATCTTACTTTTGCAGCTACTTGTTATCAACAAATCATCGAAATAGAGACATAGTATAAACAATTCACTATTGATTCTTCTTATTATATACTCCATATTCAGTTGTGCACTTCACAAATTCCTTCTTCCTTAGGAAACTATCAATTTTCTTATTCCAAGCTCTTGGAGCTTGTTTCAATCCATACAGGGATTTATGCATCATGTACACCTTTATCTCTTCGTCATGTTTCACAAACCCAACTAGTTGTTTAACATAAACTTCTTCGTCTAAGGGTCCATTCAGGAATCCACACTTCACGTCCATATGACATATGTGACATCTGTTTATTTCTACTAGACCAACAACCAACCTGATTGTTTTGATCCTAGCAACAGGTTCAAAAACTTCATCGAAGTATATTCCTTCTTTCTGTAGAAATCCTTTCGCCATAAGCCTTGCTTTGTGTCGAGTTACTTCCCCTTTGGAATTCATTTTCACTTTGTATACCCACTTGACATCAATTGCCTTCTTGCCTTGAGGAAATTCGACAAGTGACCAAGTGTTGTTATCTTCGATAGACTTCACTTCTTCGTTCATTACTTTCACCCACTTTGAATCCTTCAATGCTTCAGCTACATTGACAGGTTCGACATCTGCATAGAAAGCATAATGTACCAACTCACCTTCATTATCTATCACATCATCTGATGTAATCACACAATCTTGCAATCTTGTAGGCATGCGTCTTATTCTTTGAGATATGCTTGGACTTGGTTGTCTATAACTGTTGGTTCCTCTTGTTGAACTTCTCTTTCGACTTGAGTTTTTGGTTCTTCAAGTAGGATTCCCATTGAATCTTTCTTGATATTTTCATTCCATCCCATTCTTTAAGCTCATCTATGATCACGTCCCTGTTGATCACAATATGCTTATTCACTGGGTCGAACAACTTGTAACCTCCTGTTGAATGATATCCGACTAGAATCATTTAACTTGACTTGTCATCAAGTTTTCTTCTCAGCTGATCTGGAAAATGTCTATGTGCAATAGATCCAAATACCTTCAGATGACTCAAGTTAGGCTTCACACCAGACCAATATTTTTCTGGAGTAATTCCTTCTAGTTCTTCATAGGACATCTGTTCAAAATGTATGTTGCAGTTGAGACAGCTTCTCCCCAAAACTCTTTACGTAAATTCTTGCCTTTCAACATACTTCTCACCATATTCATGATGGTTCAAATCTTCCTTTCTGTAGTTCCATTATTCTGTGGAGTATAGGGTGGCACCACCTCATGCATAATCCATTCCTTTTCACATAACCCGTCGAAGTCTTTCGACACATACTCTCCACCATCATCAGTTCTCAAAACTTTGAGTTTTCGACCATAGACTTAAACTTGGAAAATAACTCGATCACTTCACTTTTATTCTTGATCAGGCAAGTCCATAACTTTCGACTAAAATCATCTATGAATGTAACAAAGTATTTGTTACCTCCCATAAAATCCACCTGGATTGGTCCATATACATCATAGTATATGACTTCAAGAATAACCTTCGACGTACTTCCTGCATCCTTGCTGAAGCTATTCTTATGCTGCTTCGCCTGCATACATTCCTCATATACCTCGTTTGGAATGTCGATTTCTGGAAACCCTGAAACCATATTTCTTCTCTTCAAATCTCTGATGTCTCTAAAGTTGAGATGGCCTAGTCGATAACTCCATATCCATTCATCTCTACTAGCTGCAGTTGAAAGGAAATTGTGCTCCATCATATTTAGTTCGATCTTGAAGGTTCTATTATGAGACTGTAGTGGTAAAAATGTTTAAGACTAAGCCATTGGATTGACTTGACTTATAAATATAAAGATAAAAATTGCCACCGCGCTTTATTATTTCTAAAAGAATGGGAAAAGAGCGAATAACCCAAAAAGAGGGGGAAAGATTCAAGGTAAGGGGGTTGGTTATGCAAAGGGAAGGTATTAGCATCCTAAACATCTACGGTACTCCGCAGAAACCTCTTTGAAAAAATCTGTATATTTTGGCTATAAAATATTGTATAAAAAATAGATGGTGGAGGTGAGAAAAGAAGTATTTTTATGATTTTTACACCCGCCGCGGTTGTGAAACTTTAGTGCCTACGTACCACCTTTAGTGCAATAGGGGATCATGGTACACGTAGTTCCTCTTTAAAAAATTTAAAACACAAGTGTGCTGATTGATTTTATGAGATAAGACATCATCGTCATTGTCTGTGTGGAAAACATATTTACTACCCACAATCATGAGAAAGGAGAATTTGCATCATCTCAAAGTGGAGGATATGACTTGGATTTTAAAATCAATAATTCCTCACTCAACACCCAAGTGGAAAATATCTCTCTTCACTATATATTGTAGAAGTACAATTGTTTAC